TCCTTACTAGAGTTATAGTAGAATATACCCGAAAACCCTATTCTAATTACTAAGGTCCCTACATTAAACCCCAAACCCCAAACCTTGAACACAAGCCGCTGGCGTTTTTCTCGCCAAAGCCAAGGCGAAACTTCGCATCCCAGACGATCCCCTTTCCACCGGGTCAGGATCCAATGAAGAATCCCTATACCACGCTGAGACCTCAGAGTGGGTGTTAGAGCCTGAAGCCTGAATCGGCTCCTTTAAGGGCTTCTTCTAAGGGCTCCTTTCAGGGCTCCTTTAGGGGTTTGGGGGTCCGGGGCTTTGGGGTTTCGGGCGTAGCGGTTTAGCAGTGTAGCTTCATTTGTTTAAGGTGTAGTCGGGGTTTAGGGTCATGTCGGGGCCGGCAGCCCAAAGACGCTAAAGACATAGAATACGCCGAGGCCCCAGACCGGTCTCAGCTTCTTTGGTGCTGGGGCTCCTGGTACTGCTCTTACTATCACTGCAAGTGCTTTGGGTGTTGTTGCCGTATTAGTACTATTGGTTGCTGTTGCTAATGGTAGTAAGGTCCTAGGTTCTTCAGTAGTGCCCTTTTGCCCTTTTTGCTTTGGGGCCCCTCGTTAAACCCAAAGAGTAGGAAAAGGGCGCCCTTATTGTTAGGGGTCTACTGGGGAACCTAGGATCCTTTCACCACACCGAAGCCGAGCCTCGCCACTCGCACCAAGGATCACCCACGAAATGAGGAAAGGCCTCGGCAGGGGTTTTGGGGGTCGCGGGTGAGGCACTGCAGCAGTGCTGTGAGATCCGAATCTTCTGGCGGTTTCTTTGGCATGTCCAGATGTCAGTCTAAAATCAGGAGGGATCCACAATCGGGCCCGAAAGCTCCAAATTCAGGTTTGCATCATTCCTGAAATAAATAGGAAACCTTACTCTATTGGGGCGGGGGATCCACAACCCAACACCCTCAACCCTCAACCCGAACTTTAAACCCCAAACTCCCCAAAGCCCAAAAGCACCCTAGAGCTGCAGCAGGCATGCAGCTCTGCGATGGCCTCGTCTTCCGACATCACTTCCCAAAGCTCGCGAAGTCGACGGAACTCTGAGTTTCTGGGATCACAGAGGGCTCCGAAAAATGGGGACGTCGGGCTTCTTCGTGGGATTTGTAAGGGGGGGGCCTCAAGGGTCTCATCCTATGCCAGAACCATATACCATATACCCCCTCCCGAACAGTCCAATATACTATTATGTCAAGTTAAACCCAGATCCTACATACAAGAAGGTTTTTTTTATTAACGCACGTATTCAAGGGGGGCTTCATAATCTAGAACTCCATAAAGAGATTGACTGTTATGATACGCTGTTCGGAGATAGAGAAAGAAGAGATAGCTGTTACACCAAACAGCGAAGCAACAGAATAAATGCATATTGTGCAAAGGTGGGTATTAAATTCACACAAGACCCAAACTTTAACTAATATTGTAAGGCAAGAACACACATTGGTAGACTACATCGGGAAATTTTAAAGAACATAACCAAGTTGAATAATAACTGTATTCAACAAAGACCTTATCAACAATTAGAATCTCGAGGACATGAAGATAGAGACTTTTTTCAGATACACATAGATACTTGATTTCCCTGTTTATCCACAGCGGAACACGGGAAACACAAAGACAATGACTATCCCGACAATATAGACGACTCTTTAACAGAATGTACTACAGTCACTTTTAAATATATTGTTCGATGTGAAGGACCTTTCCCGGTGAAGGGTTTAACTCCTTGGGGTTTTCTATTCAGGGGGCCATTTCTCAGTTCATGCCGTTAGGGTAGTTGTATTTTGGATAAGGTTGTGGGTTTAGGTGGTTGCCTTGGTTAGGGTTGTGGCAGACGTTTGGGTGAAACTTGGGGGTGGGATATAGGCGCGGGTGCATGGCGTGAACTGGGAGATGACCCTTGCTAGCTCTTGTAACCGGTTGCAGGGTTCAGGGTTTAAGCCTAGGGTTTAGGGTTTACACTTCGGGCGTGAAGGCTTCGGGCTTCAGGGTCGAGGGTTTGCGGGTTTAGGGTTTGGGTGTTTGGGGTTCAGGGGCTTAGAGGTGCAGTAGGGCTTTGGTCAGGATATCTTGTTTTATGAAACTGCTAAGACTGGTTGAGGTTCAGAAGTTCAGGATTTTGCGGGTTGGCCGGACGGCTGCTCCAACCCAGAACTGCAGCCAGAAAAAGGTGGCTGAAATAATTGCCGATACTCTGTTGGGGTTCCTTATTTTATTATGTAGAGTATATTGTGCCCAAAAACCCTATTCTGACCATTACGGCCCTTATATTTCTGAGGTTGGTCTGCCGCCTGCCGATCGCCGAGACCTGACGGCTGCGACATGCTGGATAAGAGCACTCTGTGCACAAGGGTTTGCCAAGCGACCCTCCCCGAGCCTGTGCACCGAACTCCTGCACCCCCGATACAGAGAAGTTGTGCACTACTATCTTCCGAAACGATAGCTCCTTCGTAGCTGTTGCCTTCGACCTCCTCGCCTGGCTTCATTACGCGAGATCTGCCACAGACCGGCTCCTTTGGGTCCCTATATATATATATGTATATATATATATATACATATGTATATATATATATATATATGAGAGACGGTTCGAATAGGAGAGGTTTATGACTGCTGCACCACTTACTGGGCATGCAGGAGTGTTTGTGCAGGTCTTAAGGATGAGGGACGGGCAATGTTTAGGCCCGTTTAGGCGTCATAGTACCTGGAGTCATGGCTGCTATCATTCAGAATGTGCTACGATCCTTCCTGGTGAAAGGAAAGCTATAGGCATATTCTAGCTACTGCAGGTGTGTCACCGGGACCTAGAGGACACGAGATGAGGTAATTGCGAATGCACTTGAGCCAGCATCCCAAGGGTTTCTGCACGTGGAGGACAACATGAGTATACGCCGTTGCCAAACAGTGATGCTAGCTTGAGAAACTGATAGATAAAGCTCAGATCGAGATTCGCTGGCTCAGTCTTCCATCGTTGACGGCGTCGTTGTCGCCTGAAGTCGTGAAGGATGTCGAAGAAAGTCAATACTGACTGCTTGGCTGCAGGGTGTAGTCTGCCTTCCTACATCCAATGCCTCTATGTATAGTATGTTATATCACAGCATATCATAGATTGCCATGTGATTCCATATCGTCTCATGTCATATCGTATTGCATTGTGTAACTTTACTTTACCTTGCATCACATTACATTACACTACGTTGCATTGCGTTATACTGTATTGTTTTGCATTTTACCCGTACTGCATTCTCTTATGGTATGTTATATTATCTATATTATAACCCATCATATAAGAAAAGATTATGTGGTACTCGACTTTACTACATTACATTACACTATATTACGTTGCATTAGCTTGTATGATTTTATACTGCATAGTATTACGTTACATTCGGTTGTATCAGGTGAGGTTAGATCAGATCAGGTTTAATTAGGTTAGTTTTTAATAGGTTAGATGGCTGTAAAGTACATGTTTTCAACATTCTACTATGTGTATTTTATGTGCGGACATGAACCGTCCATCAGTGGTCTTCGGCCGCTGGTCAGTTCATATTCTCTTAAGCATCGACTTCTTAATTATCCTATTCGGGGTGTAGGGTCCAAGGTTTAGGGTGAGAAGACGAGATGAGTTCAGGTCTTGTGACTACTTGCAAAGCCGCCCCCGAGCCTGATTTGCCTAGAGCCTGCACTGCTCACTATGAGTTTGATAAAGGCATTGGTTTGCATTACATTGTTACGTGTTTCTTAGTTTTAGTTTCATTGCATTCCTCGCCCTAGATTTCAATGAAATCCCGGAGCTCTAAACCTTGATCCTGACTCCTAAACCCTACAACCGGGACTTGTAGGCTAAACCCGAAAAGCTAAACGTATTGTATGTATTCGTCACTGACTTGACACAAGGTGCCTCCAACATCAAGCTTCGCACTATTTGCACTAGGCTTGCTGGATTGAGAGTTTAGGGATTAACGTTTTAGGGACTTGAAGGTCAAGGGTTTGAGACTTCTGCATGAACGTTGAACAGCATACATCTGTGAGGTGGTCTAGCACTTCCGCATGTCAGCGTTGCCCTCGGCACCCCTAAGGGCGCTAACGGATTGCAGCGTATTCTTGGCCTGCATCCCGAAGCAGCACAGGAAGCGTAACGACTGTCCGTCGAGTAGTGGTGTGAGTCTTGCATGCAGGAACAGCTAGCCCAAAGAGAACAGCATTGACAATGACGACGACAAACATAAGCAAGAATGCTGATGATCCAAATTACCAGCAACAACAATATGAGAAGCATCAGCATCAGGCATGAGCACATCCGTACGAAGTAGCCGCAGCAACAAGGGGAGCCATCTTCAAAAAGGTGCAAACCGGAGCCACATCAAAGCAGCAGGAACCGAGACCATGATCATGTAACGTCTGTGGCATCATGGTTAGCATCACCACCATGATGCAAGCAAAGCCTAAAAACTTAAATCCTAAGCCCTAAGCCCAGCACAGTAAGTGGTCCTTGGCCAGCATGTCAGTGAGCGATGGGCCTCCGGCAGGCCCTGGAAGCGGGGCTGACTGCTTATAGTATAGTCTAGTATAAAGTATATAGTATATAGTATACAGTCTATAGTATGTAGTATGTAGTATATAGTATATAGTATGTATTATATAGTATATTCTCTGTGTCCATGGTCTGAAGATATTTTTGCCAGGTCCCAAGCCTGGGTCCGCTGTCTACGCTGCGGAGCACCTCACGGCCCGTGGGATTTCGGGACACCTGCGGAATCCGGAGCTCTCCACCTCAAGATTACCCTAAGGGTCCAAATACCTAATAATCATATACTCTCCCAAATATTAAGCTAGAAAACTACTATCCGCAACCAAAGTACCTTATTATTGGGTCCTTTGGACCCTTAGGATTCAGGAAGATCCCAAAGCGCAAGCCTCCATGAGCGGCACTTCTTCTCAAAAATGTGAGTTTCCGAAAATAAGGGTACCGTATTTTGGGGTCCTTATAATAGGATCCTACTATTTAGGGTACTATATTAGGGTCCCCTATTTTCGGAAACCCCCAAATGGCAAGCATGAAGTGAATTATAGGAGATGTGAGTCTCGGAACGATGCCAAGGAACATAGGACAGGCCAGGTTCATGGAAGGGCCACTCCAGGTCCAAATCCGAATGAGTTCTGCGCCTGTCCATCCCTATAGGTTGGGGCTTTGGAACCCTAAACCCTAAAGCCCTAAACCCTAAATCCTAAAACCCTAGACCCGAAACCCTAAAACCCTAAACCCTAAACCCTCAAGCTTGAGTTTCATCCGGGCTAAACAAAAGGCCGGATCCTGAACCAAACGAATTCTTCTAGCAAACGCAGGTGTCGACTTCGGCCCTGACGTCTCTTTATATTGCAACGCAATAAACTCCAATAGTACTTTATGGTTATATAGGGGTCGTAAGAATTGTCTATACTAGTTTGGGGGCTCCTTGCTATAATTATACCAGAACTATTCTTCAGGCCCCTATACTACCTTTGTATAATCCTTGAAGGGCCCGTAAAGAAAACTTACAGCTGATAGTTTCGCAGCTTTGCGTCGTCATTTGCAGAAGGGGTTTGCAAAAGATCATTATGTGATGATACAACAAACTACAGCATATTGTAGTACATGAGAATATTCTTGTCCATTAGTTATATATATATATATACAGAGTACACTTACACAGTCCGCTGTTGTACAGCATAGTGTATCATAGTTCATCGTCGTATATTGTAGGAACGTGCATTGCGTGATATTGCCGTGTGTTTGTTTGAGCATCTGATGGTATATACAGCATGTTTGAAGGTGAATGGAGGCCGCATCGCAGTTCGCTTCGGCGCATCGGGAGTCGTCCAAGAGATTCAGGCGCCTGTGACGCATTCATGCTGCAGAATATGTAGCCAGCATCGGATTCAGGTGACGCCTCGACCGCTCTATCTCTCTCTATCTCCCTCACCTGGCTCTCCTTCTCGTTCTCTCGTACTCCGACTGTTCTGCCCGGCCCGAGCCTCCGTCCAAGTTGCGAGTGGATGTGCAGCTGCGGAAATGCCTCAAGCCTCCAACAAGGCTCGAACAAAGCTTGATGTTCCCAAAGAGTCCTAGGTAATTACTGTTCTGGGGGATACTTCCCCAAATGATACTTCACGCTCTGGGGTTGCATGCATTGCGCATGTCGCTAACATGAAGCAGGCGAACAAGTCTGTTTGTCCAAGATTCGGTACGGGGGCCTTAATAATTAGAATAGCGTTTGGGGGTCTTTTATAGTATACCTCTATTTTTTGCCTCAACCCTTGAGCTCCAAACCCTAAACCCTGGACCCTTCTGCCCTGGAGCCCCTTTCAGGAGAGCAGTGGTCTCTTCATCGTCACGTTCGCAGAGTCAATTCCGCCGGGTCAGAAGTTTGCAGTTGCTTGGTCTGACCGAGTCTCACAGCGACAGGGCTGACGATACTGCGGGGTCATTAAGCCGCAGGAGAACCATAAAATTGACGCTCAAAGTAGAGACGACAGCACCACCAGCAACAGCAGCGTCAGCAACTTCATTACCAGCGACATCTAGACTACTGACGAACATCAACATTATTGACCCGTGGCGTTAGCGACAATGGCAGCAAGCGTAGGAGCAAGAGCAACAATGAGCAGCTCGAGATGCCAGTGCCCAAACCTAGCAGGCAACGGCGGCACTGGCAACCTCGATGTCGCACCGACGGCAACAGCGAAAGCATAAAGGACGAAGACACCAGCCAAAACAATATGAACAGCAGCAGCACCGCAACCACCGACGCCGCCACCGCCACCGCCACCGCCACCGCCACCGCCACCGCCACCGCCACCGCCACCGCCACCCCCGCCGCCACCCCCGCCGCCACCACCGCCACCACCACCATACCCCCACCGCCACCACCACCATACCCCCACCGCCACCACCACCACCACCACCCCCAGCACCACCACCACCACCACC